GAGTCAAAGTTGAAGAAAAAGAGTTGACTTTCCATACTTCGAAAAATTTCAAATTCTTCTTTAAAAAAGACCTATAATTTTTTGCATCCAAACATGGCCTTCCACTTAGAATTTTATCTTGACCAAAAAATATGGAATGAAGTAGACCTCTTGAATGAAATTTTGCAATTTGAAACACTCAAAATATCCAAAAATTGAGTAAGTTATAACTTGTTGAAGTTGGCCAAAAATCATGAAATGACCTATAATCCTTTGCATTCTTAAGGCAACTTCCATCCATTTTCTTGCTTTTCACATAAAAGAAGGCATGGAGCACACATCCTTAGGATCATAATGAAAAAATAATGGACTCAAGGTGATACAAATTGACCATGTTATGACCATTTGAAGTCACATATGGAAAATTGGGGATCCATCAGGGTGACTTGTAATCTTTCTTCCTCGTCAAGTTTCTACCACATGAAAACTCCTTGGAACTTTTGAAGTGATTTGTTGGTAACTTTTTGAAGAGAAGGATGTTTTTTGAATCACTCAAAAATACCAAAAGATGAGCAAGGTATGCTCCTTTGAAGTTCAAAACCCTAGCCTCTAGATCAAGAGAATGCTTTAAGGAACTTTGCCATGTTTGAACAAACTTTTTGTGCCAATATTCTTCCTTTGCGAATAGAAATTATTGAGGGTGATGATTAGGAATCATGGCCACCAAAACAACTTCCATAGCAATTCTTCCAAAACAACTTCAATGGTGAGGTTTGAATTTATCAAGCTATTGACTAGGGAATGGAAATAAACTCATGAACCCATAAAGCAACTTGCTAAACCTCATTGCCTTTACCTACATTATTAACAAGTAAGACAAACCAATATTGCATTTTGTTAATTAGAGAGAAAATCAAAGCAAAATATATATGATCAAAAAAGAAAACAACTCAAGGTGCTTGGTAACTCCTCAAAAGAGCAAGGCTAAAGATAGGGAGAAGAACCAAAAACCCTAATGTGATTTTGTTGTGATTGAAACAATATGGTATGATGCATAAACCTTAGCGGGGGAAATTGGGGTACAACAGTCTGTTATGCAAGGGGAAGGTATTAGCAACTCACACGCCCGTAGTACTCTATGGTATCCACTCGTGTTGTCTATCTTATGGGTGTGTTTATTGTATGCTTATTGTACTATTGAGGAAGAATGCATGCAAAAGAAATGAGAAAGTAATGTAGGGAAAATAAAGTTGTGCTCTCTTGGGAAAGTAATGTTGTGCTCGCTTGGGCCCTACCCCAATAACATTGTTTTTTATGAACAATGTTAGTTTCGCCTTCTGCTGCAACTCGACCTTTGGAGACTCATGCGTTGGCACAGAAGTAAATTAACATGTCCTTTCCTGAAAAATAGTTTTGAGTTACATCCTCAAGGCAAGATGCCATATTTGATTGGTTTGTGTTTTGTTACCTTAAAAAATAGTTTAAGTGTGATTAGCATGTTTTATGATTTGCTAAGAAAAACAAAATTTTAGTTTTAAATGCATATGCAAAAGGGGATGAAAAAAAGTCTACGGGAGACTAGCCTATTTCTAATCCTAATGTTATTATACAATGATGGCCCTACGTCAAGGATGAAATGGAAATCTCTACCTAATGTTAGCATACATGGTTTGTAACCTAAGGTCTAACTTTCATCCTAAAGGAACAAGCATATCCTAAGGGAACATGGCATGGAAAGCGAGTAAGCAAACAATCTCGGAAGAGCACGTACAAAAATGGCAAAGAAAAGAAGCGAAATGCTTTAGCCAAAGGGAGCTTATCACCCGATACATACAAGCAGGAGTGATATGTAAAACAAAAATGTGATGTCCAAAGCGACTGAACACCTAACCAAGATATAGAAGATCGAGGTAGGAGACATAAGGCAATATGAACAATCACGGAGTATCAGTATCGACCAATGCGAACCCTTGACAAGGTATGGAGGTTTGATTATGAAACCCTTTTCAACTTGACGACTCGATAACAAGAATAGGCATAACTCCGAAGCATCGTGGTGCATCACAAGCTAAGGATGTACCGGGAGAAATTGCGGGGGTTGATTGCTAACCCCTTCCCGCTCGCCTCTTTTTGAGGACTTCAATAAGGGATTGGGGAATAATGCGGGCACAAATGTAAACACACGTGAGGAATACCTACACAAAGGTAGGGTTTTAAATAAACCACACACAAGTAGCACACAATGGAAAACAATGCGGAATTTCCCTAAACGGGTCTTTAAATAAACCAGAGGAGTTCCTGACATAATCAGCAATGAAGACCCCCGTCATACATCTCTATTCCTACTTCTCATGGCACAAGAATAACAGTAAATCCCTACTTCTCATGATCTCTAGAAAAGACGTAAATAAATGCAGTAAAGTGCGGAGAAATATGAAAGTAGTAGTGGCGACTACCAAAAGCAAGCGAATTATCGAAAGCGGGCGAAAGAAATGGAGAAGCATGGAGTACGTGTCGAGCAAGCTTCACCGAGAAACAAATAAAGTCACAAAACATATCCAACTAAGATAAAATCAAACGCCTGTTCCGAATGCAACGCGTAATCAGAAGTTCCTGCATAAAGCATCATAAAATATCACATGCATTTGAACAACATATAATATGATATGAATTTCTCAAGATGATGAGAAATAAGGCGTGTAGTATCGGAAGTGAGCATAAGCGATATGCTTAGATCACATAACAACCTATTATGCTAAATGACCGAAAGCACAAAAAATGTACCTTGTACAATGAACAAACGCGTCAACAATAACAAGGAAAAGCGGTATGAAAATATGGATAAAAACTAAAAGAAAAAGTATTTTTTATTAGTTTTTTATGTGTGAAAATATTCCACTAAAAATTAATTCCTAAAATTGATTAAGAAAAACTAACAAATTTTATTGATTTTATTACAATTTTCTTATCAACAATCTATAACAAAAAGTAAGGAAAATTTCATGGAAACCTAAAGAGAAAATTAAACTCAAGGGGGGTGTTAAGCTGAAATCAGGGGGTGCTATGCTTCCAGATGCATGGGTCCATCAACAATAAGGTCCAACCAGTTTTTGTTTTGTTCTTAAACCTTGTGGTGCATAAAAAGGCCATGGGCCAGGGCCAAGGATTTGGTTCAGCCCAATCTTCAAACCCAGCTAGACCAGATTTTTATTCATTATACACTTAATATAAAAAAAAACTAGATTAGAGAAAAAGAAGAACGTTGAGAGGCGTGACGTCGTTTTAGTGGACTTATGGCTTATTATGTGTCTATTCAGCTTCTTCACAAAACACAATCCTCTTCTTCATTCTTTCATTGACAGCGTAACGACTGCTTCTTCTCCGATCAATATCTTTAAAACACCATCGTCATCTCATACTCTCCGTCTCAAGCTTAATTGTTTCACTCAATTTCTACCTGTAAATCACTACCTCAAATCAATGTTTAGATCACCACAAGAGTTTTGATTAAAGAAGAAATCAGAACAACTAATCGACACATCTAGTTACGGTATTGAAAGATTAAAGACTCGTGTACATGAAATAAACATCGTCTAGCAAGAATCAATGAAAGGAAGCGTCAATCACGAAATTCAAAGAGCTTACTAATCGAAGATTGTCCGACGCGTCTTCGATTGTGTCGAAATCAAGTGGAGACCCAAAGATTTTAGCCAATATTCAAGGTAATTACACTTCTGCTCTTGTACGTTTCTCTTTCTACTTTTTCTTCATTTGCTTTGTGTATGCTTACGCTTTTCTAAATTGGCGTTGTTTCTTGCGACTCATTATTGATGATGAAGATGCATGTTTTTTGAAGCAGTTGCATTGAAGCTGCAGCTTGAGGAATGAAGGTGATTGCAGGACTTGATAAGGATTCGATGAAGATGAAGATTCAGTTGTGTCTGTGGCATGAAAGAATTGATGACGATGATAATGTATTGATAGAGAGTTGTTGCAGAAGCTTGAAGATGTATGGAGATTGATGCTACAAATATAAAGAAAATGAAGATGCAATTATGGAGAAAGAGTGAGGAGAGATATATTTAGAGAATCTGTGAAGATGAATGGCTGATGCACAGAGATAAAACAGAGAGAGACAAGAATTGTTCTACAGAATGGTGATTATTCCAAATGTGAAGAATGAATGAATCAAGGTGAGAATCCATTTTTTTCTTCTCTCCTAAATCTGTTATCTCCGTTATGTTTCTGCTGGAAGCTGTTACAGAATTAGTTAGGACAGTTAGAGATGAATGATTCATGGCTAATGGATCTGAGATGAGTTTGTTGCAAATCGAGAGTGAGATGAGACTTGGATAGAATTGGTTATAGAAGTTTATTTAGTTGAGAATTTCTGTTAAATTCGATTAGAAGCTGTTAGCAATTTTATTAGTTGCAGTTAGTTTGAGATTTTGTTACTTTTTTTGTTACAGGTGTGAGCTGTTAGTTTGATCTGTTAGATGTTAGTTTGGTAATTATGTCAGTTAGTTAGTTAGGAAGGTTAGTTTTTCTGTTGAAATTTCTATTAGAAATAGTTAGGAGGTTTTTGGAAGTTGGGATTCGGTTAGGTATTAATTAGAGGAGTGATAAGCTTTTGTTTGACAATTATTTAAGGTAGTTATAGAAATGGAAATTTGTTTCGACAGTTGAGTATGAGATGGAAAGTTAGTTATCTGCTTATGATATTGTTAGTATGATTCTAAATGAAAAAAATGAAGTGAAAGTGTAGGAAGAATGCAGTATGTAGCTGACTTAGACAAGGTAGGCTCAGTAATGCTTTGATTCTTCTCTTATTTTTTCAGTTTTCCTTTGGTTATTGATGAATTCAGGTCTGGAATTTGGTCATAGCTTCGTGATTCTTAATTGCTTTTGTTTATGATTTTTTTTGCAGGTATTCTTTTGGCATGGAAATTGGACTAAGGCTTGGACATAACCAAGTGGGCATAAAGCAATCTTAGAAGATAATGGCTTGAAGATGAATAAGATTAGAAATGAATGATGGAGAACTGGAACTTGGGACTCTTTAGGTTTAGGCCACTCGAAGATTTAGTGTAAAATTTTGTTTTGATTAAGTAATTTTGGATGTAAATGGCGTTGTAATTTTCTATGGTAATGCTCCAATAACATAGATTGTAAATTGCATGGTTATAACCTCGAATGGGCGAGAATGAAGTTGTATAACCCTTTGACAAATCATGCATGATTTTCATAACTTGTAAAGATTATATCATTGAATGAACGTGAACCCTTGGATCTTGATGAGTTTTGATGAACAAAACTAAATGAATAACCTTGAATAATGTTATGACTTATAATTCTTTGCAAATTTGTAACTTGTACACCAAGAGAACCACATGAACGAATATTCCAACCTTATCTTCAATTAACCATTGCCAAATCATGAAATTGAGACCTTGAGCTAATATTATCTTAAGCACAATTAGTAGTTTCAATCAATCCAAATTGACTTCAATTCTTAATGAACAAAAACCTAAGTCAACTTGCTTTCTTGTTAAAACTCCTAACTTCGATCTCAAATCCATATTATGTTTCTCTATAAACAATAAGCAATTGAGAGGAAAGCAATTCCTTGATCATAGTCGTAGCGGTAGAAATGTATAAGACTAAGCCATTGGATTGACTAGACTTATACAAATCAAAATAAAAATCGCCACTGCGCTTTATTGTTTTCAAAGAAATGATAAAAGAGCGAGTAACCCAAAAAGAGGGGGAAAGATTCAATGTAAGGGGGTTGGTTATGCAAAGGGAAGGTATTAGCACCCTAAACATCTACGGTACTCCGCAGGAACCTGTTTGTAAAATGTATATATTTTGGCTATAAAATGTTGTATGAAAATAGATGGTGGATATGAGAGAAGAAATATATTTTTTATGATTTTTGCACCCGTCGTGGTTGCAAACCTTTAGTGCCTACGTACCACATTTTGTGCAATAGAAGATCTGGGTACATGTAGTTCACCTTTAAAAATTGTAAAACACAAGTTTGTTGGTTAATTTTATGATATAAGGCATCATCGTCATTGTCCGTGTGGAAAAACATACTTACTACCCACAATCATGAGAAAGGAGAATTTGCATCATCTCAAAGTGAAAGATATGGTTTGGATTTTAAAATCAACAATGCCTCGCTCAACACCCAAGTGGAAAATATCTCTCTTTACTACACATTGTAGAAGTATAGTTGTTTGCATCACTATAAGGATTGACAAGAGTCTAATATTTTGGGAAAGGTTTTAAAATAAAAAGCCAAAGTGACAAATTGATTTGAAATGAGATTGATTGACTTTTAGTCTTCTCACAAAAAATGTCAAGGAATTATTAAGTTGATTGAAGTTTATTTATGAAAAGGTTTTGAAAATGCATGGACCTAAGTCCAAGTTTATTATGAAAGTAGTTCAAGTTTAAAAGAAGCAAGAAGAGTTTCCAAAGGGAGAGAGAAGATTTTTGAAATTAAAGAAGATGGGAGGAGAAGAAGATACTATCCTAAAGCATAAGGTAAAAGCTAGGGATAAGAACCATCTAACCAACAAGAAGCCAATACTTGACATTATGAGCCAAGATAGAATTTCAATTATTTGGATTGAAACCAAGAAAGTAAAGATACTAGACCTCTTGTGAGAACCAAACTTAAAGTGTATTAAGTCTTTACAAAAATTGGGCAGAGTAATGACTGTATACGGGTGAATTCCAGATTACAAACAAAGTATGTAATCACAATAACCTGCACACAAAACAAACAAAAAAAACCCAATGTCTTGAGGTAAATCTCAAGAACTCTAGACAAAATATCCATTATGGTTACAAAGTCTCCAACATAGGCCAAGGTTTCTATTCCTAAGTCCAAGAAATCCAATTCTCCATAATGCCCAGGATAGTAATCAAATAGTCCAAGTATCATTAAAGCTTTTTATGGTTCATGTTGATTATTAAGTGTCTTAGAAGAGAAAATAAAAGCTCAAGTTAACAAAATAAAAATGACATGAAATGTAATGCTTAAAGTAAATAGTACATAAAGCATAAAAAATAAAAGGCATAAAGTAAAAAAAAAATTAATAATTAGTGGTTAGTTGGATGACCATCTTGAAACTTGTATTTGGAACTCATTAGAGGATTGGTAGAACCAAAGCCTTCACACAACAAGTTGCATTTGCTTTTTGTCAATTATATCATCCATTTGGAATCCTCAAAAGTACCATTTAATGACCATTGATGTGAAAGTGATCCGCGTTGACCAAAAGTGTTGTAGATCCATTAGAGGATTGGTAGAATCAAAGCCTCCACACAATAAATCTCAAGGTTATTGGATCAAAGAGATCAAATTAACATACTTGGGCTTGCAAACATAGGTTTGGGCCACGAATGATCATTTATTCGAATCGGGACAAAATTTAGCGCTATGTTAAGCAATCGTAAGTGGACTTATGTAAAAGTCACATATATTTTGAGGCCGGTCAATAGAAATGTATGCACCATTTGTTTTGAAACATGATTTAGAGATCATGCTCCAATAACACTTAGTGCAATAAGAAAGGGATAAGATGAAGAGGGGTGGCAAATAACATACAAACCACATTTGAATTGAGTTTTTATTAAACTATTATTAAAATCATTCATCCATTTTTATGGATTTAGACTTAACACCATGGATTCAATGATGTTAACAAAGTTCATAATAAAAAATTCAACCCAAGATCAGCACGAAAATAATCACAAAATAATATTGCATTTAGTATATACATTAAAAAAGTTTTAAAATGTTTTTTTAAAATAGAAATAAAAGAGAGAGAAAAATTAACTATGTTCAAATTAATCAAGAAATAAAAAGTAAGACCATAGAAAAATCATAAATCAACTAAAATAATTTTATAAAATTTTTGGTAATTTTTTAAAGTCAGAAACTATTTTTAAAATTAAAATAAATGGGTAAAATGAACAAAAAATGATAAAAAATACCAAATTCAGAAAACAAAAATAAATGAGGTCACCAATATTTGTCACAATATCATTGTATAATTCCTTAATTTTTTTAGAATTAAAAAATGCATAAAAGTATTTTTAAACATTTAAAATAAATCAAATAAAGTGAAAATTTATAATAAAAAAATAGAAAAACACAATAAAATTGTGAAAAAAAAATTCAGAAATAGAAACATCAAAAATATTTTTCATAATTGTTTCATATTTTTTGGACTTAAAATGAATTTTCTATAATTTTTTGGACATAAAAAAAGTCAACTGTGACCCACATACAGTCAACTTCGAAATCCATATACAAGTCTTTTTCAATCCAATTTTCCATCAATTCACCTTCCTTGATCTTCCCTGAAGCTAACCATATAATTACATTCAAGAATCGAGCCCCATATTGCTCCATAGAAGTCCAATTTCAGAGCTCTACAACTCAACTTCAATAGGTAGATTCCTTCATCAATTCTTCAAAACTTTGATATAATTTTGATTCTCTCATTTCTCTGGTTCTAGTCGCAACACTTTCTTTTTACTGGAAACAAGTTTTGACCATGAAATTTCAAATCCCTTTTCAAAATTTTCCTTCCAAATTGTTTGAGCTACAGTTTATATAAATTTGGCACGAGGGTGTAGTTGTCTTCATCTTGAAGAGATGAAGCGAATGGCATAGGTCTGAACTATTGATTTTATAGTTTGAGAGACCTGCAATTCATGTTGTCTGGAGGTTGAAGATGACCTACGTGTCATCTTCCAACCAATGATGGCGTGCCACTTGTTTTTTCTGAAATCTGATTTTACTTTTTGATTCTATGCTTTATTCACTAATGATCATGATATGCACAGTGCGCCAGATCCTTTGGATTTGATTACTAGCGCATTTTGACTCTCATCCAATGTTCCATATATTTTTGACTTTTATTTTCTTTTCTGATTTTTACATTTAATTGTTTTAAACTTCAAAAAATCATAGAAAATTCATTTTAAGTCCAAAAAATATAAAAAAATTATGAAAAATACTTTTAATTATTCTCTTTCTGATTTTTATTTTTTTCACGATTTAACTTTGTGTTTTGGGATTTTTTACAAATTTTCACTTTATTTGAATTATTTTAAACGTTTAAAAATATTTTTATGCATTTTTAAATTCTGAAAAAATTATGGAATAATCCAATGATATTGTAACAAATATTGGTGACCTCACTTATTTTTTATTTCAGAGTTTGGTATTTTTTATCATTTTGGGTTTATTCTACTCATTTCTTTTAATTTTAAAAATAGTTTATGACTTTTAAAAATTACCAAAAAAATTATAAAATCATTTGAGTCCTTTTCTGATTTTTCTATGGTCTTACTTTTTATTTTTTGATAAATTTGAACATAGTTGATATTTTTCTCTTTTATTTCTATTTTAAAACATATTATTTTAAACCTTTTTTTATATATATCATTTTATCTCAATGTATCATTTTCAATGTATGAAAAATTGTATCATTTATGGAGTCTCGATGTATCAAAAATTGTTAGAGGGGATAGTGGTCATTGTATCTCAATGTATCATTTTCATATATATTACCATTTTCCAAACTTTGTAATCATCTATGGAGTCTCGTCATTCGTAGACTACCATCCTATTAATAAAGTTTGATCTGTTACCCAATTCTTTGTGTTTCTTATTTTATTTAGCTTGCAAAGACCCCATTTATCATTTATAATAACTTTCAAAGCAAAAAGATTAAATAACAAAATCGATTTTTCAAAAAGAATATACAATTTTCTTTTACTTTAGAATTTGTGATGCGAGAAAATAACAACAACAAAATGGTGATCCCAGGAATGAACAAACTCCAGTTGTTTTAAGAAGTTTTTGTTCCCCTCGGGAAATTTTACTCAGGATGATTCGTCGTATTGGGTTCGAGACTCTGGTATCCTCGATCAAGTTTGGATTCATTTCTCCTCCTTGTCTGAGTTTTCAGGATGTAAGGTTTTTAATCCGAGATTTCTCCAGTGAAGTTTTCATTCGATCTAATAGAAGTTCTTTTTTCCAGAGAAGTCGGTACAATTATTACTCTCGAAGAACACAAACCTCTTTTTTCCCCAGTGAAGAACGTATATTGGTTTTCCATTTGTGAATGTGGTGTTAACCTCCCCAATGATGTGGGCATGAATTCCCCAGTGAATGTTTTGATGATTTGGTGTCTATCTACTTTACTTGAGATTGGTT